TTTATTCAAGAAATAAACTTGAAATGGTTTATATTGCACACAGTAAATGAAATAGTAGTTGATATATTGAGAAAGTGAGAAGTGAATAAACTGTGGAAGTTTGGTATTTTCGAGAAGATAAGGCATCACACGCATGCACACAAAAGAACTCAGCAGCAATTATATGTTTCGTGGATGCATCAGAATTCACAACAGAAGAAAGGCATGCATATGATATGACGCTGTCTTCCTTTGTATTTAAGAGAAAGGAAAACGAAACAAAAGCAGTGGCTGGTGATGGTTCCTAGATAGGGTTTTATTGCTTAGTGTGCTAGCTACCATCAGATTCAGATCCTTAAGTACTACCCATAATTTAATTTATGAATAGTCAGCGTGCCCCTCAATAATTTAGATTTTAGAAACATATCATCATACCACCAAGTCAACCTCTTACCTAAATTATTGGGGGCCAAGTTTTTTAAGTCTATTAGCTAAGCAAACTCTCCCATAAGAAAGGGAGAGATCTGAATTTCATGTTGAATGTTGCATTTTTTATAGACTTCAAATGTGCTTTTACTCTATAATTGTCTAACAATTCTTAGTTGGTTAAGAATGGTTACTTATACGCTTAAATTTTAGCCTTATAATTTTGGTTTTTTTTATAATATATTTTAATTGAATAATTTTTGTTTGTGTGAGACTAATGGATGACACAATTGCTAATGAGTCATTGACGTAGCATGGAAAAAATAGAAGAATAAATTGTCAAAATGTTTACGTTAAGGTTAAATTTCCAATTCTTTGTATTCAACAATAACACTTAACTTCTAGTTATAATATATATTACACCCAAAATTCAAAAGTTATGATATTGATATACTCTCAATAAAAACTAAAATTGCACTTATATTTACTACTATTAATATTACATAAAAAGTTATATATGTTGTTAGTATAATAATAACTAATTTAATAAAGATAAATATTATCGGAAGAAATTTAATTTAAAAATAGATGATATAATTACTAAGAATATAATTTTACATATTTTAGTCACTAAAATTTATATTTATATCATATATTTCTAATTATATATATTTTTTTTCTGATATATTTATATCATATGTAATATGTTTATATTTCTGTAAATGTATATTAACATATAGTAATTTATATTTATTAAATTATCTATAAGTATACTAATAATATTATTAATAATAATAACAAATAAATTTTACTTATTTAATAATAATAAATATAATATATTTATACATGAATAAAAACTAAATGTATATAACTTAAAAAGATGAAAGAATATATAATTTTAAAATATTATTGCAGACACTAATATATTAATATTATTATTAATTTATTGATAACATTTTTAATACTAATATATATCACGCGTCTGAACCAAAATTAAACATATTATCACTTTTTGTGTATTAAAGAAATTTATTAGTTTATTAATTAAGTGTTATTATTAGAATTAAATTGAAGTATTCTATCCTCATATCTAATCCTATTTTTCTCTACCACTAAGGTTAGCCTAATGGTTGGGTGGGGAATGGTTGAGGTAGTTAGAAGGATGAAGACCTATATTCAATCCCCATTGCGACCATCTTTGTAATCTTTTTTATCTTTGAAAAAAAAATCATATTTCTCACTCTCTTTTTGTTTGATGTCTACAATTTTAACACAAGATTTAATAAACATATATAATGTATTTTATTTAAAAAAAATATATTAAAATTTTCAATATACTCTTAAACCTTTTGAATTTTCATTAATAAAATAAGTATTGAAAAAATTAATTAAATAATATATTAATAATAGTTAAGAATATAATATAAAAATATATATTTAATGTTATATTGATATTATAAAATGATTATTAAATTAAAATAAATAAGAATTGTCAAGACATCAAATAAAATAAACAAAATGGAACGTAAAGGATAACTTTTAACGATTTTTATATTTTTATTTCCATACTGAAATTTAAAATTAACTTTAAAACTCAACCATTAATTTTTTTATTCACAATGCAAATATACTTTATATTAAAGTTACTTTTTTTTCTTTTTTCTTTTTTACTTTTACTTTACAAGAATGATATCCTTCCGGTGTAACATTTCCTTCACTAATAGCATTTCTTTACTTTTATCTGTTCAAAGTCAACCCTTTAAGACCGATGTTAACAACACTTTATTCACAGGTCATTTTCAATTTTGTCGAACATAAATATGTACACGAATTTTTGTAGATTAATTATTGATGATGTTTGTTTCTCAGGAAAAATGATAAATGGGTCATTTTCCATTTTGTGGAACATAAATATGTACATTAATTTTTCTTGATTAACTGATGATGTTTGTTTCTGAGGAAAATTGATAAATGTATGTTGCAGATTGCAGAGTGCTTGGGAGTTGGGTGCTTGCAGTTATAGTAGATGTTTGGTGTAATTAAGAAGCCTTGCATGTTGTATTGTCAGAAATGTTGCTTTCAATAATTTGTTGAACATGTGTTCACAGGAGCACACATTTTTGAAGATTAATTATTGATGATGCTTGTTTCTCAAGAAATTTGATAAACGAATGTTGCAGACATCTTTGTAGATTAATTAATTGGTGATGTTTGTTTCACGAGAAAAAATTTGATAAATGGATGTTGCAGAGTGCTTTGGATACGTAGTGGCATTAGTTATAGCAGCCTTTCAAATCATTTGAATTGCCACAGCCACTCCACATTATACTACTAATTAGCAACACATAAAAGAGTGATGTTAACAAAATCCTAGCTACTGTAGCTTTATTGATTGACATGTCATTTTCAACTTGTCGTAGATGAATTAATGGTGATCGTGTTGTTGTGAAAAACACATAAGTGTGTGTTGCAGAATGCTTTGGAGTTTGGTGCTTGCAGAATTGTTATAAATGATAAGAAGACTTGTAGTAATATTCTATTGTCAGAATCACAATTCTGCTTCTGCAGGGATATTTATTCCCATTAATATACGAGTATGTCCAAAGTCAAAAGGAGGAATTTGGATCCTCTCCTACAATTTTCTCTCTCCAATCTCTTTCATGCAATATTAATAGTTATGAGATATATCTAATAATTCAAATTTAATCTTATAATTAATGTAATTTTTTAAATGATTAAATTTGAGCCATTAAATATATCCCATGACTATTAATATTGCAGGAGAGAGGCTAGAGAAAGAAAATTGCAAGAGAGGATCCAAATTTCAAAAAGAGACATTACTATATCTAACAAAAATGTATCTTTTTTATAATTAGAAAATTGTTGAATTTGAAGATCCAACGTCAAAATAAGATTATTTTGGACATTGATTTTGTATAGCGTTTTGTAACGAAAAGAGAAAAATAAATGTAAAGTTATTTCGAAATTGAACTAAAAATCATTTCTACTCCATTATAGTTAAACATGTCTTTTTTTAAAATTATATTCGAAAATTAAAATAAAAAATGGACATACCATCTAAAAGGACTTTAAATGATCCAAACTCATTTTCATTCAAGCCAAGTTCTTATTGGTTATTCTTGTGTATATTTAAATATATAATTATTTTTGAATCAATAGGCTCACATAATATTTAGACATCTTCTGCTCATATTTTGTAAGAATAATTAATCTAGTAAAGTATCTAAGTCAATCTTTGATTTGTATAAAAATCTTTCAAAATATCAACAAAAATAATATCATAAGTGAGATTCATTTCTAATTTATAAACTCTATAAATACTTTTTTAAGTGAATATAGATTTCACTATGTTCGTTTGTGTCTTTACTCTCTTATCCTATACTTATCTCCGTTTACTTATTCGGCGGATATGAGATTTGTGTCCTCATTTCCATCCTAATCGAGTATCAAATATGTTGGTGTTTGTCCAAAAATTAATTAAATTTTTTTTAAATAAATATTAAAAAATTTAACATAAAATAACAATTACAAAGAAGAAAAAAAAGAACACTACAAAACCAAACCACAATTCTCGACACGTAGGGCTATTAGTTATAGTCCCTCCGTTTTTTTTTCATAATCGTTTAAGGTTTTGCACGGGACTTAAGGAAATCATTGATATTTTAATTTTCAAAAATATTTATTACTTACTTTCCTATTTTACTCTTTATTTTTTTTTGTATTTTTGAGATTGTTGAACTGCAATCTACTTCATTAATTATTAATGCATTGATTACACGTGAACTGTAACCTACTGTATTTAATTATACATGTCCCTTCTTTTTGTTTTTTTATAGTATTTTGTTGGGAATATATTGCTCTTATAAATGCACATTAACTTTATATGGGTAGTTAGAGAAAAAATAGGTAGACATTAAAAATAAATACATACATTGTTCAGTAAACATGTATTAATTATCAAGAGTAAAAATGGAGAAAAAAAATTAATAAATCATTGATCTTAGTAAAATGACAATGAAAAAAAAAAAAAATTTTAACAAAATGACTATGAAAAAAAACAGAGGGAGTACTACTCTTTCAAACCATTTTGGTTACTTCACTAAATCGGGCGACAATTGTGCATCTCCACATGCCCCAACAAACTAAGGTACTCTACTCCTTTGCAAACCATGAATGTGCATTGGCACGTAAGCTAAAGCACAAGGACACAAGAAGTGGGGTGCAAATGCAATTAAATTCAGTCGCCTAACACTACCAAGTGATGTGCCCTTTTCTTTCCATGTCTCATAAATATGCACTTTCACTTTCGATGAAAAAAGCACGCCTAAGGATTTGACTGCCGACTACTAAAAGACAAAGACAAAGACAACGTGTCCCTCCAAAAGACCCCACCACCCATTCAACTTCATCACGCAATTCAATAAGCCTCGTTAATTCACTTCTGCCAAACCACCATCCATGGGGGACCATTTTGCATTTCATAGGATTATGAAATATTCAATGCAATGCAACAGAGGCCATGCCTCTCATCTCATACACTGCCAAACCAATACTATAAATATGGACAGCCAAGATAACACTGGAGTAGGAAAATCTTTATTTATATTACAGTCGTAGATTTTATAGCAAGTAGTAGCGTAGGAATAGGAGTGGTAGTAGGAGTAGAAATAAAATAAAAACACACATGAAAGGGTTGTTACATTATGGGAACACCCTTGATTTATTAGCCCATACTACCACCACAAACCAGACTCGAGAGCATAAAACTCCTAGAGCTACACAATTACATAGAAGAAAAATGCAGCAACAACTGCCTTCAAGTCAAGGGAGTTTCACTTTCACATGATGACCCTTTTTGTGACACAAATACAAGTCCTTGGAGCAGAAGTTTCTCTAGACTCTAGTCATTTTCACTGGTACCAGATTGAAATGTCTTGCTGCTGTTTGTGAAGGGTGGTGTTATCCATCCCCACTCCTTGAATATCCTCTTTAAAGTCAAAGGACGATGCCAAGGATGCCAACTCGCATGGTGAGCTAAACATCAAGTGAGCATTATTGTTGTTGTGGTTGGCATCAAAAGGAGGGTTCATGTTCATGTTCATGTTCATGTTCATGGTCTTGAACCGGTCAAAATGACTTTCCTCCCGTGCATACAAGTTTCCTTCCATGACCATTCCTTGACCAGCAGGGAAAAAATCATGGTTTTCTAAAGCTACACAGTTTGTGGGGCTTAAATTCCTGTTTCCAAGAACATTGTCATAGATTGTCATAAGGTCACTAATCATTTTCTGGTCACCCTCCGGAACTCCCCCAAGCGAAGGTGGAACCATGCTACCAGATTGAGCTGAAGCATTTGGTTGAACAAATGACTGAGGAAATATCACAGGCTTAACCTCAGTGGCATGAAAACTGAGACCACCACCAAAATCTGCTGGGCTGTTTCTATACACACAACTCAACTGATGGTTGTCCCTAGCTGATCTGTCATGGAAGCCAAGGCTGAGTTCATTGTAAGGACATTGAGGGTACTCACATGTGTAGATCTTGTGATCCACGATCATGTTGAAGTCATTTGAAACCTTCCTTTTCCTAATGAAATCCAAATTCGTGACAACATTTAGGGAAGGCTGCTGAAACGGCAGCCTTCCCTCGAGTCTCTCCGACCTGTTATCAGGATGGAGAGACTCAGGCTTTCGGTCCTCCACATCAAAATTCGGCTCAACCTTGCCGCCATCAACGTCATACTCGCTATAATCATTGACTACTAGAGTTCCGTGTCCTCCGCTCACAGAGGACACGGGGCAATAGTCAGGGTAAAGCTCCCTGGCGAAGGCTTCCTCTTGATTGATGATGGCGAGCCAAGTAGCACTCTCCTTGGCCGTCATCTTGTCCTGAAGGCACTTGGACTGTCTCACGAGCTTGCGAATTTTGGCAATGTCGGGAGACATGTGTTTGATGACGGCAGTGAGAACGCCGACCTTCCAGGCCTTCTTCAAGTCATGAGGCTTCTTGTAAGGAGGGGGGGCTTGGTCCTTGGGGAGGCCAATTTGGGGCCACCAGTCTTCATTCCCAGTGGGCCACCATGGGGGAGGAACAGCCTTCTCAAGAGGAAAACGCCTCTGGGGAGGGTCACAGTGCTGCATAAGCGCGGAGAGGAGTGAGCCAAGAGTGGTGTCTTGAAGCTCCTGCAAAGTGTGAGGAGTAGGGCCAATGGAACTGGGTCCATCATTCATCCCAGGGTACTTGGCTATGGCAGCAGGGCCGTTGCGATCAAACCTGACCTTGTCCTTCCACCATTCGCGGAGGTTATCACTTGCCCCAGTGACGGGCTTCCCCTTCTCAGGAATGATTCCATAGACGAAGCCTTGGGCCTTGCAGACCTCCATCATCTTGAGCATGTACTTGAGGATTCCGTCTTGAGCTCTTGACATCTTCTTCCTCCTGGCTTGTTCCTGCGACTGCCTTTGCTTGGCTGCATCACTCCCTTCCTTGGCCTTGCTTTGTTCCTTCATTCGCTTCAGCCGCAGCTTGTCCCTCCACATCCTCCGCTCCAGCTCCTCCACGTCCATTTCCTCGTCGCTGTAGTCATCCTCAACCGCACCACTTTGTCTCACACCCATCTCTGGAGGACCTCCCACCATATCCAAATCGTTGCAGAACCCCATCTCTTCCAAGATCATCATCTTTTCTGTCACAAGGAATGAACACACAACTATTTAGCCAAATTGTACTACTTCCCTAGATCAATATCAAATGCACGTTTTCTTCTTTCCTTCTTATCCACCCATGTTATTATATTTGCAAATTGCAAGGCTAAAAAGAAAAACACGGATTAAGAAAGAAAGAAAGAAAATCACAAGTATTCAATTCGGTTACCATAGGTCGTGAATTTTAAAGTATTCAGCAAATCATATAATTCGGTTTATGGACAAGCCATATCCACTAAATGAATCTCAAAATTCTCGGTTTTAGATGAAAAATAATTTGCCAGGACAGTTACTAGATCAGGACTATGCTAATTGAACAGACAGATCCAAATCATTCACAAATTAAACACGCAAATACAATCACCATAGCTTGGTTCCAATATGATTTTTAAAAAAGTTAATAATCGCTAATCAGCCTATCATCAAACGGATGAAGATTGCAAGTTTTCAGAAATAAAAAACTTCCAAAACAGAATGGTTCAAATTAAGCACGGAAATACAAGAACCACAAGCACGTAGCATGGTTCGAAGATAATTCTAAAACACATGGCTAATCAGCCCCTCATCAAACAGATGACGTTTGCAAGTTTTCAGAAATAAAAAAATTACCAAAACAGAATGGTTCAAATTAAACACGGAACTAAGAGAACCATAAGCACATAGCATGGCTCAAAGATGATTGCTTTTATAAAAAAAGAAAAAATTAAAAAAGGCTAATTAGCCCATGATCAAACATATGAAGATTGAAAATTTTCAGAATTTTTTTTTTTCACTAAACAGATTAGGAAACTAATCAAACCGGCCATCAACAAAGAAATCTAAGGCCCATAAATAGCAATAAGAAGCCAAACACACACTCACACACATAACCGAAGATCAGAAAACTGAGAAAATATTAAGACATAACAAATCAACAACGTAAGACCAATACCAACAGCCAAAAACAAAACCCCAAATTCGTTTTAGGCCAAAAGGCAACGAAGAAGGAAGTGAATAGTGAAAAGAGGAACTTTTTTTTCTTCAGGGGAACCATACCAGAAGATCCACAAGTGGGTCTCGTTGTGTGCTGACCAAAAAGTCAATAGGGGAAGAGAAGAAGAAGCAGAAAACTTTTTCAGAGGCTAAGCAAAAAGAGTTGCTAGAAGAATAAGAACAGAGAGTTTGGAAGGTGAGAAGAAAGAGTGAATGAGAAAAAGAGACAAAGTGTGGAGCATTATCCTTTTTTATTATTGCGTAGGGTGGTGCTCTTGGTGAAGGTGAAGTGGGGTGTCATTCATTATTGGTGAGATTAAAACATTGATAAAAATCTCAATTTGAGGAGTAATTGAAGTCACACAGATATTTATAACATTGGTTATGGTTAGGTTAATCCCTTCCTAACCTCGAATCAATCAGTTATTAGTATTTATTAATTCATTTATTATGACATGATGTGTGAATATGATTAATGAAGTTGTTGTTTTTATTTTCATTTTTTTTTAATTTTCTCTCTCTTCTGTATGTGGGATCCGTGTGTGCATATTGTAATTTATTGAAGCCTCACCAATCACAAAGTCCACTTACATAAACAAAACAACAATAGCTTATTTTATTAATATGATACATATCTCATTTGAAATATGTCATACATTACATACACGCTGACATAAGTGAACGACATGGGAACACCGTACTTTTTTACTATGTTATTACATGTCTTTCGATATCGTATCTTAAGTATTTAACTTATCACTTCATTTTTTTTTATCTTGTAGATAAATCCATTGAATTTTCGAACCCAATTCATTAATAGACTTTAGATATTTCGAAACTTACTGATGGATAGACACTTCTGAATTCAATTTCGTCATTTACAAATTCAATTTATTCAACCTGAGATGCGATTTCAGTTCTTATTATTATTTGAGTCGATTACAATTCAGACACCACTATAAATATAATTTCAGCAAAGTTAATCATTATCATTAACAGAATTTTAACACTTTCAAATTTAGTGTAATTAATTATCATCATTTATTTGTCATGATTCTTTTGAATATCTCATGTTCAATAAATATGTTTATTATCTAAAAACTATTTTAAAAAATATTATTTTAAACTATTCAAATCAAATAAATCATGTTAAAGTAACTTTTTTATTTAACTTATTTTAATATAATATTTATTTCACATAATCAACTAAAATCTAGTATATATTATTGAAATTATTTCTAAAATAAAATTCATCTAACTATTCATTTAATCTAACTAATAAGATAAACAGTTACACCAATGTTAATATTAAATATTTATGCAAAAATTTGTTATTAATTTTTTAATATATTATTATTTTCTACTTTATCTCTAAAATTTTAACCAAATATTTAATTTTATGATTAATTGATTTATAATTTAATTCTTGTTATACAATTCAATATTCTTTTTACAAAAATATAATATATAAATTATTCACATATTTTTATATAATAAATTTGAGTTTTAAAATAATAGTTATAATTTTAAAGAATTGGTTAATAACTAGTCCCTGTTACATGAATTATAAAAGAAAAACACTATTAATTCATAAAAACAATTATACTTATGTTCATTTGTTTTAAAGCTATATAAAATATTTTTAATGTAATTAACTTTTTAGAAGATAATTAGAATGTATATTTATATTAATTTCAAACGTAAAGTTTATATTAAAATCTCTAATTTTTTAATTATCGACAATAATTTTTATTTTTCTAATATCAAAACAAAGATAATGTTACTCAAAACAAAAGCTAGTGGTTGAGTGAATAGATATTAAAGAAACCCATTTGAAAGCATTAAATAAAAAAAATTCACTGAATTTAACTCAACTAGTCCAGAGAATAAGATTAATGCAAGTAATCTAATGTTACCTCAAATCTCACGGTAACAGTTACTTATCTTATTAGCTACCCTACTTAATAAAATTAATACAAGTAGTAACTTATGTTCTTATTCACACACACAACGTATTTGAAATTTTCTTTTGTGAAAATAATATTATTTTTGAGAAAATAGTTTGCGCCCCGTATCATTGAATTAGAAATTAATTTATTTGTCCAAAAGCTTTAGTTATTCAGAATAAACACGCTTCGATTAAGAAATATTTAATCAATGTAAAGTTAACTAGTTCTTTCATTTAATGTCTAATTATCTTAATTTCATTATTTTACTTTTTGTAAACAAAATAAGCGAATAGTAAAGAGAAAAAGTATCTATTAATTGAGGGTATAATTGAAAAAAAATACTAATCGCACTTGAAATTTCTATAAAAAAAATTATTTTGGGGAAAAAATAAGACTAAAATGACTAAATTAAGATTTGTGAGAGGGAGAGTATAAAAGTAATGACTTAAATAAAATATAAAATAGTAATTATCTCTTGAAAATTAAAGTCTTACGATGATTTTGTTGAGTTTTACGATAACTATCTCTTAAAGATTAAGTTCTTTATAAGTATTGTTATAATTGGATAAAGAATTAATATGTAAAAAGTTTTATAAAAAACTACCGGTACATTTATATTAAGTGGAAGAGTGTTATCATGTTTTTCAATAAAAAAATGTTTTTAATTCATTAGTTAATGATGATTTTTAATTAATTAATGGTATAAAAATTAACAGTATATAATTATTAATTTTTCATAAATATTACTTAAGGTTTATATATATCACGATGATTTGTGATTAGTTAATGGTGAATAGTAATTAAATTTATTATTTTAATTTTTGAAATATTCTCTCTCAATGTTTAGTTACTAGATCTATTTTTTTTATTGATCATGACCCTAAAATGAAAATTTAGATGCTTACACAAGTTTTTTTTTCCTTTTATTTTTCTACAAGGACATTTAGTATTTTTTATTTGTGAAGATAACAAATATTATAAAAATAGTTATAATAAAGATTAAATTTAGATTTTCGTGTTTTTACTACTCTTATTCTTTCTCATCAATTATTAGCCTAATTCTAGTGATCTACATATAATTTTATTTAACGTCAAAAATAATATTACAGTAGTTTATCCTTTCAAAAACATTCAAGTAAACACATGAAGATTAAGAATCAACTGGTTGTATGAAAAATAACACAAAACAGTTTGATTCTATTTTCTGAAAATAGAAATTAAAAAAAAATATCCCATTTTTTATCGAGTAATAAAATATGAATTGAGAATTACATGATCTTTTGAAAAAATAGTTTTTATTTTCAAAAAATTATGGAAGAAGTAGTTAAAATAAAAAAAATGAAATCAGAAAATAGTAAATGATTGTTTTTCCAGTTTCTTATACAAAGCTTTTAATTTGGGAAACAAAGTAAAAATAAGGTGTCATTTTGGAATTAAAATAAAAAGTGAAAAATGGAAGAAAGATTTTTTTTTTCTCTTAGAACTAAATGCTTTCTGAATAAGGGAATTCAATTATTCAAAACCAATAAAACCAACAATTTAAATTGAATCAATTTCTTTTTATTAGTATAATAAAAGATAAATTCCATTGATTTGGGTATAAAGTTTGAACTTTATAAGTTTGATGATCGGAACCTGAAACGATAATTTTATTTGATGCTTATAATTTTAATATTTTACTACTAAGGACACTAATAATGTATTTTTGGTGTGATTTATGTTATTTTTTAGTTAATTCAAAACAATTATGCTTGAATACGTTATTCACATTTTTTTAATATCAAATTAATATTTGAAGAAAAATAATTAAAATGCATGGTTTTTACTTATCTTCAGACTCTTAGTGCTTGGGTGAAGATACTTATATATAGGAGACTATCAACTACTTTAAAAATTTGAATGAACTTTTTTGAATAAGGAAATTGAACCTCATTATAAGTGGGGATTGAGTGAACTTGGGTAAGTCACTTCAAACTTTTTTCTTTAGCTTATACAATTTTCAATCCTTAGCTTATATAATTCATACACAAGTTTTATCAAATAGTGATACATCCTAAATTACCTATGTCGGACTCAATTATTAATTTTAAGGGAGTTTAGTTTCGTTAGTGCATGAATCATGTAAATTCTCTTGATACTAAATTTGATTACCACTTTTCTGAGAATAGTCATTATCTTTTTTATTATATACTATTATTATATATAATTTTATTATTGTCACAATTACTATTATCATCATAAGGTGAACTATATATATATATATATATATATATTACAATAATACATGTCAATTAACTTATACAATTGAAATATTGTGCAAGAGTTTATAAAGCTTAATAAATTATTCGGTCTAATTTTTTTATTTTTTTATTGAAAAATTTTATGCAGGTCCTTAAATTAAAGGATCCTTCATGTTTTTATACTTAATTAAAAAGAAATTATACCCTCATACTTGAACAATGATATTAAATTACTATTTCATATAATTGTTCACATGTATTGATTTCTTATGATCAGGTAAATTACGAAACTTTTTTTCAAATAGAGATTAAAATCTTATACACACAAATGATAACAAGAAATAGTAATATAATGTGATTGTCTAGATACAAAGATATAATGAATATTATCTCTAGTTTTTACGATTGTAATTGAACATCTAATCTTGAAATTTAAGTTCTAATCTTGAAAGTTAAGTTACATAAATATAAAATGATGAATAACTTAATTACACAATTTTTTTTAAGTTTAATAACCTTATTAATTAAAAAAAAATTAAAAAAGTTCATCCTTATTATATTACAATTACCGAATGAAAACTTATATAAAAGGAATGGTAGCATATTTTGCTAGCCAACCATTTGGGTGGCAAGTTTAGTACACGTCAATAATGTTGGTAGATTTTATGTGAGATAATGTTTAATGCATCAATCATCATCTTACAATATGCAAGACTGTATAATCATGTCCTCTTGCATTGTGTTTTCAATGGTATAACACCATTTAGGAGAAACCAAAAAAAAAACAAAGAGTTATCTATACAAAAAAATATCCTAACACAGTACAAACAATAGTTAGGCATGTGTGGTACTTCTAACTAACAAATCAATTTTGTGTACATATAACGAATCCATATTTAAAAAATCAATTTTCTTTAAAAAAAAAAAAAAAAAACCAATCCCATACACAATTTAGTTTGTGCGAAATTAATGTAATGAAACGTTTAACTTTGACCCTAAACCTCGGCAAGAAGGCTATACGATTTAACGCACCACAAGATTCAGAACACAAAATACCTTTGTTAAAGAAAAAAAAAATTAAATCCAAAGAGTTTAATTTGTGCTTCTCTCAAATCCCATCTCAATATCAATCATCGATGGTAAATGTTTTTTTTATAATCAATTCATTGTGTGTGTGCGTGTGTGTTTTTTTCTTTGAATACTGAAATTCACGTTACATGTTTGAAAAGAAAATTATGTGATTCCTTCCGATGAACCTAACCAAATCTTGTGCAGTGTCCGATGTCACAATTTGTGGTGTTGGCTTAATATCCTCCACATCCCATTACTGTGCAAATGGGTTTGATTCGAAATGATATAGATCGTGTGTTTGTGTACGTTTATATTATAAATTAGTGATCTAGAAAAAAATAATAATTCTTTTTGGCTACAGATTCACTTTGTGCTTCTCATCAGTCGACAAGGAAAAGTGAGGCTCACAAAATGGTATTCACCATACTCTCAAAAGGAGAGATCCAAGGTACCTGTCTCTAATTTAAATATTCAAATAAAGGGATTAATTTTAAACCAATCTATAGAATCATGGTAATTGGAAATGGAATTAATTGCACCAATCATAGTCTAAAATGTGGTTTTTATCACCGAAATTGCACGTTGAATCTCCACAATCAGCAATCTGGAATTCTGGATTATGGAAATACAGATAATGGAGGGTTAACAATTAGCAAGCCAAATACAATTAAAAGGGATATTGATTCTTTTTTATATCATATGTGTCAAATAGTGAACAACATTGACTCTTATGACAAGGCTTCAATCTGTCTACATGTATAATGATTTTTTATTATGATTGGCACTTGTTAATGTTTGTCTTCTGTTAGATATATGCACCGATTATATCCTTCTAAGGTTTCTGAATAAGTTTATAAAAACAAACTTTTTTTCTACTAATCAAATTATGTGTATACAACATTGCTTAAGTTGTTTGCTTTTATTTTTTGGAAGGTAATTCGAGAGTTAAGTGGGGTAATTATCTCTCGAGCCCCGAAGCTGTGCAACTTCGTGGAGTGGAGGGGATTCAAAGTTGTTTATAAAAGGTGGGTCAACATTGTTCCCTCGTTTGCATCTTGGGATGGCTAATTAACAAAATAATTGTGAGTTCTTTGATTTTGGTTATTGTTCACTGTTCAGATATGCTAGCCTCTACTTTTGCATCTGCAATGATCAAGAAGACAACGAATTGGAGACCCTGGCCATTATTCATCACTATGTTGAGACACTGGATCGCTATTTTGGCAGTGTTAGTATCATAAACTCTTCAATTCTTGTGTTCTTAATAAATTCTACACATAATTCACAACCCCAATTTGTTTCTCTGCTACTTCTCTTTTCAGGTTTGTGAGCTGGATTTAATCTTTAATTTCCATAAGGTAATCTAATGTTATGTTCAATATCATTTATATCTTCTGTGGTAAATGAGACTAGGATACCTTCTCGCAGATTAATTGGTTTAAGTCTACTTTTTGATGAATCACACATAATAAATGCTTAGTGCTTTCTAATATGAATTTGAAAGTCCTATGTAAGTAAGAATGCAAATGGTGTAATGAAAGAAATATTACTCTTGAGTGTTTATGTTGCATCAGTGATGAAAATTGAGCTTGATCATGGCAGGCATATTTTATATTGGATGAAATTTTGCTCGCTGGAGCGATGCAGGAGACTAGCAAGAGAACAACTCTCAGACTGATAGGTGCACAGGTATGACTATAAACAACCTCTTGTGTTGTTCTTCAATCATATTAGGATTTTATTTTTTTAATTTATATAAAAAAAAATCTAATATAGTCATTGAAGTGAAACTCTAATCGTAAATGAAGAACAAGACTAAAATTATCTAAGAAAATGCATCAAGTTTTATCATTATGTATTTTAACATTGTGTTTCAGAAAATTCTGATCTCATGGTAATGAGTTGTTGTAGGAGGATTTAGTGGAAGCTGCCAAAGAGGAAGCTAGTTCATTGAGTAATATAATTGCGCAGGCCACCAAATAAAAGAGGGTCATCGAGGGTTGAAATTATGTTACATAGGCAGCACAAAATTTCCATGCTGGTGAAAATTTTGTTCTATAGAAAATCATTAAAAAAAAAAACTATAATAAATGATGTTATTAGGAGTTTGTTTTATGATAGAACCATAATCAATATATGGATTCATGCCCTGGACTATACCTGGCGAAATCAGATTTGATTAGTATTTTATTGAGATTTAAAGTTTCTTTCGGTTCAATTGTTCTTCACTATATGATCATTAATTGACCATATATGTAGTTAATGATCTTGTTTAATGCTAGCTTAAGGGTATGGTTGAATAAATATTTCTCTAAAAACATTTTAAAAAAATGAAATAAATTTCTTCAAGAATTAAAATTACCATATACATAAGTTAATTTATAAAAATGTTTTTACATGAACTTCTTCTAAATATATTTTTAACTTATGTTTAAGCTAATTTTAGTTTATGGATAAATGATGTATTCTAAAATAATTAGAGAATAACGCTAAAATACCTTTAACAAGTTGCTTCTAAATTTTATTGATATTAACTTCCTTTTGATCAACAAACAAAAAAAAGTCATGCCAAAACCCAAAACGTCATGTGCGATGCTGGATTTCAGGAGTGTATTGGGCCAGCTGTGGGTCGTTTTAGCTTGTTGCTCTTTTATGGGCCCCATTGTAATTTTAAGTTTTAGTGCACAAAACAATAGATATATTCATAACAAGTAAAAGACTGGTCATCATTTTAAATCTTGAAATGATAAATTTTTTTTCTTCTTATAAATAGACATTATATATATCAATGTCATTAAAACTGACCATTTATTTTAATACCAGCGTTAAGCATGACACTTGCAATTACACATTCTGTAGCATAAAACAAACAACACCTACAAAGTCACAAGTTTTAGTAAGACTCCCACTAATTCAGGAGAAAAACTCATTAATTGATATCCAAAATCCACAAACTGATTATCAATACATTTCAGTAAATAAAATAAAAAAAAATTAGAGAAAAGTACCAATGAGTGAGTGTGTCGTTATCACTTATCATTAAAAACTAAATAAGGATTACCATGGACACGCAAATTTAGCCATAAACACTCAACTAATAAACACATTTGTCATAAATTTAAAAGTACACACACATTAGCAAAGAAAAGAAGTACAACAGAGTTGGGGAAACAAGACATGACTATCCTACACGAAGGTAGTCAAGAGGCCTAGCTACCTACCCTCTAACAAAAGCACAACGTGGGTGCAACAAAACAAGGATGAGAGAAAGATAAACCAAACGAACTAAGGTGAAACACAAGTTGGTACTAGTTTCAGTTGTGTTTCTTATTGATGAACATCTTCTTGAGAACGCCACATGCTAGAGCATCTCTAGGTATACTATTCACCTTATGAACAGCCTCAGCAAAAATGACACCCATTCCCATATGCAAATGAGGCTCAATGTGACAATGGAAGGCCCAAACACCAGGATTATCAGCCTTAAACCTCAAAGCAGTCCAACCATAAGGGAATATAACTGCAGTGTTCCTCAAAGGAGGGTTCTTCAAGTTGAATTTTCTCTCATCACCCACTTTGAATTTCCCCTCTCCATACCCCAAGACCCAAAAGTCATGCCCATGCAAATGCCAAGGGTGAATCTCACTATGTGTCCCCGACAACACATTGGCGTTTTGCAGAATCACATCAACCACTTGGTTATATCGAAACATGTAAACCCCACTCCCAATATTTGAATTGGGGTTTGAAGGAGGATTTAGTATGTCATAATCAGCTGAGAAATTGTCGGGAGGACTTTTTGCGTCAAAGGCACCGTTGAGTCCAAACTTAATGGAGCCAAGGTAAGGAGTTGATGGTAATGTTAAGGAGACATTGTTAATGGCCCACTTGGTGTATCCATTCACAAGGTTTTGTGTGTTGAGAAGAACAAGCCTACGGTCATAGTGAAGTGGAGGTTGTTCGGTTCCCTTGAGAGCAAAGATCTTTTTAGTGAATGCTTTGCTACGATCGTAATCGTCCCATCGAGGTGTGACAGGTGGTGGAGAAGTGGGAAAAGCTGAGGCTGAGATTGTTTTGTAGTTTAGGATGGTTAAGCCTTGTGGGGTGTTGGGTTTTCTTCCTCTAACACCAATTGAAACCCAATAGTTTTTCTTTGGGTCTTGATTTGTTGTGAGGAGGACTGAGTAACTATCCCCTGAATATATGTCTATGTCATCAACACTGAAAGGTTCCACGTAGTTTCCATCAGCTTCCACCACCACCAATTTGTGATTCTACAAGCACGCACAAAAACAACTACACATATTAGAAGTCATCTTGAAACTAATTATTTATAATATATAATTAGAAATAAACACATGCAAAGATGGAAATGGACAACCCACTTTGAAAACACTAGCTTAATCTCTTGCTTCATGTGCCCAAAAGTATGGGCTGGCCTGGGTAGTAGAAAAAAAAAATGGCCAAGAAACAAAAGAAGAAAAAAATGCCATGGGAACCTTTTGTCTTATCTTTCACGTGCCTACTGACACTGTTCTACTGGACCAGTGCCATATCTCTGCATCGTTCCTTTCTTTTTTCTTACCATCAGATTGTATAAAAGGGAATAAAAAACAAATACAACTACCTTTTTTTAAGTTGCTTTTATAAATATTTATTATAATATATAAACATTATCTTTTTAGTTTTCACAAAGGCACAAATTCAAGAAGTCGGGTTAAACTCGTCACCTTACTCTGACATGCATGTTTCCTGGATATGGATAAGTCGCATATAGCATGCACGTTCATATGTATTGTTTGATATATATATATATATATACACACGATCGTAAACCTACAACTATTTTGAGTTCGATTTATTTTAATTGAAATTGATTGGATAGTTTTTTAATAAGGTTACTTTTCTAAGCTTGAATCCAATATTCCAATCATAGACCAATTAAATAACTGTGGTATATACCTAAATTTAAAAAAATAATAATAATAAATATCAATATAAAATAATATATATTGTACAATGCATGTGTTAATTTAAGTAAATTAGAATATATATTTCAAAAATAAACTACCATGATGAAAGCTAGGTATATAAATTTCATGGAAGAGAATATATTACCCCAATGGCAAAGTTGAGAGATGCTAAGGAAGTGGTACTAGCGATCCTGATCCTGTAGGTCTTGTTTGGATCGACATGGAGAATCTGGGGTGCACATTCTTCATTACCTCTGAACTTGCATTGGGGCAAGGTCGTATTCATAAGATTGGCTGCCATGGAACAATTGTATTGTCCTCTTCCATTAATAAGCAAAGACTGAAACAAGTAAAAGTTTTGGAATAAGGTGAGAAAATTCTTTTAGCAAACGTTGATAGCCCTCTCTTTAACATTCTAGTTGATACTTTTCTACTATTGGTTAAAAATTTTCAGAAAGTTGTTAGTACAAAAATGGAATATACAGTCACTTGCGAGTGATGAACAGTCCCTTTTTTGTTTTTTCCTTTTGTTGGGTAGGGACACAAACAATACATGTGTCACTATTTAGTTTTCCTGATTCGATTTTGATCTGCTATGAACTTGGATCCATACATTTGAAATAATCCATTTTCTATTTTTATACTATTCTTACACCACACTCAAGAATGGTACATCAATGTTAGACATGATGTGTCCTTAATTTCCCTATAAACCTCATTAATAATCCTATGTTTATTTACATTGAAACATAACAACATTCTTTTGTTGTTTGATTTAATTACCTGAGGCTCGTTAATCCATTTGAATGGAATGGAGGAGAGGCCAACTTCTTGAACATGTGTGCTTTTGTGCCACCAATCACTCAGCAAAAGGTTGAACTCACCATCATAATGGAATGGTTCCTTTTCTCCCTTTGCTAAATCCACTATCAGAGAACCATACAACCCTGCTGCTCTTTGCATACCATAGTGTCCATGGTACAAGTATGTGCCCGGCTGCACCATATTTTTATAACATTATCTCATATATTCACCAATCACCATCATTCGCATAACACATTTAAAAAATTTAAATAAAATAAACATGGTTCAAAAAAAAACAAATATTAAAGACTGTTTTGTCGGTATTTTCAATAAAAATAAATTATTAATGTAAATAATTAGGATTTTTTTTTGCTAATAATATCAAAATGAGCTTTGTTTTACACAACAAACTCTCATCCATAATCCATACACATATATAGTTAGGAATGGGAATTGAATACATGTCAACATGGCGAAAGAATCCAATTACTCCTTTTTAATTTATTTTATACGACCCAAATTCAAAGTGTCGTTTGGTCTTCTTTATAAGAACAAATCTAAAATGTTTCTTATATTAATTATTTTTTAACAAAAATGTATTTTATTAATGACAAAAGTAGTTTTAAAAAGTCTTAAATTTAAGAAAAAATTAATATTATATACTAAATTAATCAATAATTGTCAAAACAAAACTAAATTAATCAACTTTCCCACTTCTACTCAACTAGGTAATTAGATCTTAACAAAAAAAAAATCAGGTGGAGAATCTAGTGAAAATTGTTGGTTAAATAGTGAAAATCTATTCTTGTAATAATAGTAATCATCAACTCACAAGTTTTTATTTATAAAAATTTGATATACATATTTTTAGTACATGTGTCTTGTCAGCCATACAGGCGATATTACAACGTTAATATATATATATAAATAGATAGATAGTGCATTGAACATGAAAGGCATAACATAACAGAAAACCAACTATGAAGAAACTAAATAAAGAAAAAATGCGTTTATAAATATATATATACCCTGTCAACGACAAATCTGTAATGAAAAGTTTCTCCAGCAGTGATAGCACACTGCGAAATGGCAGCAGTTCCATCTGCCCAAGGTGTTCCATACTGCAAACACAAACACAAACACAACAGTACCCCCCAATAAACCTACAACTTTAATCAAACTAATAATATCGATGCAAGCAGGTTAAAACATTTTTTTATAAAATTTCTCTATTAAAAGTAAAGAACATTTTTCAATAAAGAGATTTTCAAGAATGTTTCTAAACTTATATTGAAATAAAATCTAAAGACAAAGCTAAAATAAAAACAAATTAAGAATAAAAAACCTGTCTAATTCCATGCCAGTGAATAACTGTTCCTTCTGTGGAGAGTTTATTGGTGAGTGCAATATCAAGTGTGTCTCCAACTTGAGCTCTAATGGTTGGACCAGGAAAGTGGCCATTGATTCCCATGACAACATGCTCATGGCAATCTGGTCCATGGAGCATGTACTCTACATCAAACTTGTAGTGCCTCACTGCTCCTAATGACACTTGCAACAAACACAACCAAATGCACCATAACGTTAGAGCTTTCAAGCTCATTGTGTTGTTGCCTTTGCTCATGGAGGAACAAAGTGTTGATCTCCTATCTAGGGTTGTGCCATTATGGCCTAGCAAGTGCCTTTGTATATATAGACAAAGGAAGGAGGCAATAGAAACTATCACTTTCAACAACACATTGTAACTTGTAAACTTTTAATATTAATTCTTGAACCTAAAAATATCTCCTACATAACATAAGAGTTAGTTTTATAATATTTTCATACAAAACAAAAGGGAAAAGAGTCGTTGAAGGGAAAAAAAAGCTAAAAACAAAAGGTGGGTTGAATATATAGTACTACTACTAAGAACTTTTCAGTCAAAAAATATATATAAATTCATCGCTGTTTCTTTATGTCACGCGTGTAAATATCTGCAAGCGATTCAGTTACTAAGCTTTTTGAGAGCTGTTTTAGAAACATATTACGTAAATGGGGATATTTTGTAACTAATTACACCTTTGGGGCTGTTTACAACGGTGTCACTATGGTTCATAGCGACACTCATGACACGTGGCCTTTTTTTTTTTGTTTAGGTTGGGCTGGAATGAGCCACAACAGTGTCGCTATAGGCTGGGCCAGCACAGTTGATGGACTAAAAAAAATAATGTAGCTCATAGCGACACTGTGTAAGAAAAAAATAAAAAAAACAAAAATAATAGAAATGTAAAATAAAAATAATAAACTGAAATATTTATTATATATTTATAAAAATTAAATTAA